GTCATATCAGGGTCTGATAACATCCAAATTACTTGAACTGGTATTACTATCTGTAGATTCTGCACCTACTTATCTGCACGTTCAACGAGGCTCTCCACAATTATCCTATCCAAGTCATCGGCATAAAGGAATCGAATTTGGACGACAATGCTTTCGCGGGATAATTTCCTAAGCTTCCCGATGCCGTTCCGGTTGTCACTTAAGGTTTCCCAGTCTCATACTCTACATAGGGCCTGCACAGGGCTGCTTTCCCTTCAAGTCACTGGCACTTTAATATGTTCTTTCACGTCCCAGCAGGTGACCTCATAGATCCACGCCTATATAAAACACGACTTTTACTGGAATAAAACCCTGATACTACCGTCACTATGAATCCCACTCTGTTGATACCTCTATCGGCCATTGCATACTTACTGCTATCGCTTTTGCGCCGCCGGAAGTCATTGAGGTTCATCCAAGGACCACCCGTATCTTCATGGCTTTTGGGTATGTTCTTCATCGGCTCGCATATACAACAATCTCCTAACGGAAATTGATCAGGCCACGAATACGAACTAGCGAATCAATCAGAAGTAGGAGACCTAGAGTTCAAATGGTTTCGAGATTATGGTACTGTGTTTCGTAGCGCTGGATGTTGCGGGGTACGTTCAGTCAGCCATATGGTCTTGCCTGCTTACACGCTGACAACACACTTACTTCGTCTTCTTTTCTCATCTCCAAAAATTATTAGGAAGATATCCTGATGGTATCGGACGCCGAGGCTCTACACCATATCCTCAATACCGGTGGCTATCGTTACCCGAAGACCAGAGACGCGGTCAGGTTCATCAAGCAAATTAGTGGAAGGGGACTTACTTGGGCACAAGGTTAGCAAATTTCCCGGTATTCATCGCATTACCTCTTCTCTTCTGCATGAAAAGCTAAATGATCTTCATCGGTGTTGATAGGAGCCGTACATCAACGTCATAAGAAAGCACTTAGTCCGGCATTTTCAGAATCTCAGTTACGGATGCTCCTTCCATTGTTCCAAATGTATTCAGACAAGGTGAATATCTGACGCGTCCGCTTGACTGATGCACTTTTGACCGATAATTTTTCGATAGCTCGCCCTTCGGTGGCGAGAACGATTTGCGGATTCTCAAATTATCGATATCTCTCATTGGTTGCCAAAGGTGACACTAGATGTTCTTGGTGAAAGTAAGTTATCCTTCCTCTTTTCGGAAACTTGTGGACTAATTTTCGTCTTTGTAGGTTCTTTCGACTTCCAATTCGGATCACTCGATGACAAGTCCAGCGATCTTCGTGTAGCTTTACAAACCATGTTGTAAGTGTCCTATCTGATCCGCTTTCGGTGTCCGAGATTAATGGTTAAATCGACAGTGCCAGCTCTCAACGTCCATCCAAGTTCACACTTTTCTTGAGAGCGTGGAAACGAGCTTTACCAGACTCTGTAGTCGAATACTTCGAAGGAATTTACGTGACGGAAGAAGATATTCGATTTAAGGCTTATGTAGATGCGGCCAAAGGAGCTGCGAGAGAATTGCTAGAAGAAAACAGCTCGAATCTCGTGGCTAATGGTGAAAAAATTGCACAGGAGAGTCACGATTACCTCAAGGGAGCTGAAGGGAAGAAGGATATGCTGAATATGCTTCGTGAGTTCTCGCATAAACCAAGGTTTCTCCGGTTTCTCCGTATTCACTACTGTTGCAAATGATAGTTCGATCAAAAGCAGCAGAGGATCCCAAGAAACGATTGGATGATGACGAGGTGCTTTCACAAGTCTCGTTAGTCTTCTTATTTCCATTCAATCTTCAAGTGGGGATTGATCGAGGTTAAGGACCATGATTTTTGCCGGATTTGAGATAACTGCCTGTACATTGACGTGGATAATGTGAGACGACAAGCTCGACACCACGAAATATCTACTGATTAACCCAAACAGATACGAGTTGAGTCGGAAAATCGAGGATCAGCAGAAGTTAAGGGCAGAAATCGATGCAGTGAGGGTCAAAAGGGGCGAAGATGCTGTTTTAACGTCAAATGATTACGATACGATGCACTTTTTGAACGCTTGCATTAAAGTCAGAATCATACTTCCCGAATCTTCCGCCAGGGTGTCTTATTCTTCATTCCCTATGCTAGGAAGGACTCCGACTCCACCCCGGAGTACAGTTCACGACACGCGAAGCTGATTTGGATGACATAGTCCCACTGGCGCAACCAGTCATATCGACTTCTGGAGAGGTTTTGAAGAAGATACCTGTGATGAAGGGTCAGCGAGTGCATATCGCTATCGCTGCATACAATAGGTTGGTACTGGTTGCAACATTTATCTTCCATATTAGCTGAACTCCGTATACTATTCAGATCGTCAAGCGTGTGGGGTCCGGACGCCGATCAGTGGAATCCGTCGCGCTATTTAGATCCTTCATCAGAGTCGAAGAAACAGCAGTCGATGATTGGAGTATTTGGGAACGTGTGCGTGCTTTCATACATCACGATATGCCGAAGTTAACCTGTCTACCCTTAGGATGTCGTTTGGTAAGAACATCCGTAGCAATTTTTTTCTTCTCTACATCAATTCATATTTTCGTTTTCCTTTGGCTTTTAGGTTCCGGGGTTCGCGCATGTATCGGGTACGTGGCTCGATGAGTTCTCGGTGTATAATAGGCTGAACTGATCTTCCTTGTAGTTGGCGTTTTGCGTACGCGCCCATTCTAGCTTCAATTGGAAGCATCACTTATCTGTGCTTTTTAGTGTGATTGAGATGCAAGCGATCCTTGTTTGTCTCCTGACACAATTCGAATTCGAGCTTCCTCCAGGTGGCTTGGATATTCAAACGGTGCCACTACGATCCATGAACGCACCCATGCTGAGAGGGAAATTGGATCAGGGACTTCAGATGCCATTAGTTGTGAAGAGGCGTGTAAGAGCTGATGTCTGATGATATGAATAAAACCTGAACGATAGGACCTTCAACGGACCCATTGCTTTCTGATTGTGCTGCAGCTATGTATGTACCATGTACTGTAATGAGTGATTGAATTAGTAGGAAGCATAAAACAGCTTTGACCGGCTTTGCGCCGCAACGGCAATTCCCGTCTTACCTCACGAGGCTCCTTGACTCGACACTCAAGTCAACCAAATAGAACCCTTCTCACACTCATTCTTCCTCAAGATTCTGAAAACCCCATCAATTAGTTCTTGTTGATGTAAGTACAACTGGCCTTGATAATCAGTTGTGCTTAAAAGAGCAGTGACTACCGTGCTGATTATAAGTAATTTAGAATTTCAAATTTTTCCATGTTCGCACCAACCCGTAGTAGTATTCCAAATGTAATTTCGATGGTACGCCACGCATCCAAGATTCACTCGACGCGTAACTTACTCTGTCTTGATCAGGAAAACACGTTTCAACAGATACCTTATACGCGGTCGGTCTATGATCTTATGTCTGTATCAAACGAACTCTAACGCGAAATCTCTTCGAATAGCTATAGTAGACCACCGAACAACTCTGCTGCCATCTTTCCTGGTCGATCAACCCTGACTCTTCTTAAATCATCTGAATGTCAATCGAACCCCGTACATCCCCAAAACTGGGACATCGGCACCATGAGCAATATGGCAATTGTTCCTGGTTCGCGTTGGGTCATGAAAATAAGATATGATGGTCATTTCGATATCGCTGGAAACTCTGTTGCCAGTGAGAGCCCAGGGGCATTCTCTCGCCACACATTCTTCTGCTGGAATCCATCGGATGTCGGGAAAGAGAACGTATATCGATTAGCGAACACCTTCATGGGAAAGTTGACAGCGGATAACATTATCATGTAGGCTTGAACTAGTTTATGTATCGCTGTCGTCTGCATTCTACTAATCGTTGACGGCGCAGATTCATCAAGGCCTGCATATTCTATCCGTTCCCTCCTCATAGTCCATGCATACCGCAAGTGATTCACCTCCCAGTCGAAATAGCCCCTTTTCATAGCCAGCTTCAAAAGTTTTTCTCTGTGTTCCCATCTCCTTTCTCTTACAAGATTGATAATGCAGAGCACACTTGCGAACAGAACACTCAACTCAGACTCATTTTTAGAAATGGCATGGAGCGGGCCAATCGCCTGAAGAACGACGGGAATGCAGCGTATCACTCAAAGGATGGGCTTAAAGCCGCAGATGCATTCCATGAAGCTGGAAACTGCGTCAAAGACCTTCTGGAGCAAAATTTGGATAAATCAGAAAGAGAAATGGCGAGGAGGTTTCTGGCTATATGCTACGCAAATCGGGCTAATGTGTGGCTGCTACCCGGAAGTTTGATGGATCTGCGAAGATGCGTAGAGGATGCGATAAAAGCAGAGGATAGCGATCCTTCGTATAGCAAATCGTAAGTCACATAACCTCTGCGGCCCACCTACTCACTAACAAAGGCTCACTAGATACATACGCCAAGCAAGAGGATATCAAGGTTTGGGTGAATTTGATAAAGCAATGGACATCATCGCTAGAGCCCTGAGTCGCGAGGACCTGATGTACGACGTCGACTTGGTCAAATCATTGCTCGTTCTTCAAACGGATGGAAAAGGTCTTCCGCAGACTAGGGAGGAGATGGGGGAGTGGAAGCGTAAAATTCTGGCGGGCGATGTGGCGAGCGCGAAGAGGATGAAAAGTGTTCCTACCAATGGGGCATGGTATCGAAAGGTTGAAGGGCACTGTACTAATATATGTAGAGAACGAGGCTAATCAAGCCCGTGTTTTGCGCTCTGCTTGCTTTTGATCTTAAATAGTCTATAATGCTTGCTGCTAACTTTTGCGCAAATTAATGCTACAATGTATACATATGTAGTCATGCTTGGGCTTGTAGCTTCATAGCTTTGACGCAGTATTCGTTTGATAGGTTTTTATGTCTAGCAGATAAAGATCTCTCGAAGAACAATTTTTCGAAAGAAAAAGAGACATTCCAACCCCCCCCCCCCCTTTTATTTCTAAGGATCAGGAGAAAACTCCCTGGCTGGGAGTCGAACCCAGCTTTCGCGCGCTCAAAGGTTCTGACAGGCGCGTGTACTAACCGATATACTACCAGGGACATATTCAGAATCTCAAAACATAGATGTTCAGTATTAACAGATCTGCTATGTAAACACCTTCCGTCGATACCTGTCCACTCCTGCCACATCTTTCACGATGGCACCTACGTGCCCATCAGGTCTAACAACAATCACTACCCCCCTAGTTTCTTGACTCACAGCACCTTCAGAAGCTACAACGGCATGAAAGTCAACACCGCGCAAATACGACCCATACGCATGACCCTTCGTATCCAGGACTTCCACAACATCTCCTTCCTGTTTACCATCGATCAGAACCCGCTCGGTCGATCCCTGCGGATGAATCACGACAATCCTCATGGTTCCATTTGGGTAATTGTCCAATGCTCGAGAGAACTCTTGAATCGCCAGCGGGGACTGAAAAAACACTAAAGCAGTGTGTTTCGTTGTATCAAAGATTTCGAACAAGCTCGTTGTTCCGCCCGAAGAGTTTCTATGCAGAATCTTTAAATCCGGGGCCTCGGGAGCGCGGTCCCCTCCCCTCACCGGTTCCTCTGGGGACATCTTATATGGGTCCAGTACCTCCGCGGGAGGCGCCACTTCGTCAAGTACAATCGAGCTTCCTCGGTAGTTGATGCCAAACATACGCAACTCGAAGCCGCGAATGACATTGATCCCACTAGGTTGCTTCTTGTCAGGGGAATCCGCAGAGATAGTCGTGGTGCCGATGGTTTGGGCAACACCAACCTCGATCTTGACAGATTTCTCCTCGTTTACCCCAAAGGTCTGCCTAAGCAACCTCGTTGTGACATTCAACATTGCTTTCACCACCCTCATTCTCTCTTCTGTATATGATGTCATTAGTTCGTTTGAAGTCGACTTATTCAGCCCCTTATGAACAAGAGAAAGCTTCCAGCAAAGGTTGAATGCATCTTGAACACCGGAGTTAAGACCTTGTCCGCCAGTGGGAGAGTGGACGTGGGACGCATCTGTGTGAGAATTCAGCAGGAGGAAGAAGAAGAACAAAGATATGCAAACCTCCGGCGATCCACACTTTTCCTTTTCCGAAGTTGTCAACCATTCGAACATTGGGTCTAAGAGTAGAATGAGAGGGAGAACCAATCATGGGAAGTGAGAAAATGGATGGTACCAAGAAATACTCACCGCCAAACTCCTATCCCAATAAGATCTCCAAATACCAAGTCCCTCCTTCCGCTCAGCTCATAAATCATATCTACTAACATATCCCTTCTGTCTACGGTGTTTCCATCACCCACGACCCCATTCAATTTGAGCTTTCCAATAGTGTCGTCCAAATCCTTGTCAGTAATCATGACCTGGACTCTCGTATCGCTTTTGGGTTGGGCTGAAGATGCTGACCTATAGGGACGAATCATAAGTGACTTTTCGATAAGGGCGCCCCATGATTTGATATGCTGTTTGACGAATGAGTAAAACGTCTATCTCCACTTGACACAAACAATGAAAATCAACTTGCGATGGGTCACAAGTGCAGAGTCAAGAACACAAGACTACGTAGCCCATCGAAGTTTCTGAGCTTAAGAAACGTCCACTCACATCGTCACCCCATCCATTCAGCAGATGAATATCAGCCAGCAACATTCCTCCTGCTTTCTTGATCGATTCTCCCAAGAATGAACAACCCAGATGTTTACGAACTACGCTGTGGGCTCCGTCTGCACCTATGAGCCAGTCAAATTGGGTCGTTTCGGTTTCGGTTTTGTGAGTTGAAATTTTGAGAAGGGTTGCCTCGACAGTGTCGGATCCTTGTTCGTACGAAATGAGCTCCGTCCCAAACTCGACTTGACAACCATAGTCTCTCAAAAGACAGGCACGCAAGATAGCTTCGTGATCCACTTGGGCAATGATACGGGGGCTGAGCTAATGTTGAATTTTGAGGGGAGAAATAAGATTACCAGAAGCAATTGGGGAGTTGGTCACTCACATAAGGTTTATCGACCTTCTCCTCGACCTTCTCCTTAGATTGATCCCAAAGAATGACCGGAGGCTCGCCATTATCTGGAGACGTATATTGATGGATGGATTGATGCGGACCTGAACCTGCCAGGATATCGTCGAGGACTCCAAGAAATTTATAGAGCTCGAGCGTGCGCGGCTGTTACATAGTCAGATTAGCAGCCAGCCATCGCAAGATAGATCAACACTCACTTGAATACCTGGGCCTCGACAGCCAGTCCTAGGCTTAGTTTCCTTCGCGATGACTCGTACAGAGAGACCGTCGCGAAGGAGGAGGAGCGCAGAAACAAGTCCAACAGGACCAGCGCCGACCTGTGTTTAACCCCCATTGATGATTGAGAAGGAAGACGACGAAATGGACGGGACGATGTACTCACGATCAAGACGTTCACGCGTTCCGCACTTCTAATCTTTGAGACCATAGCGATTATACGAAGATGCGCAGTAGAGTGTGTCTAATAAAAACAACTCTTGAGATTTGCAAACCATCCTGAGTCTTATATAGCAGTAATGTAGACAACAGGGCAAGCAATGAGTCCGGAGTTTTGACAGACATTCAACCTGCATTCAGCCGTGAATAATACGAATGGGATATTACCTGATCATGAGTCTTTTCATTCAGCCGTGAACGAACCGAATCTATCCATTGCCGATTCCCTGCAAGCTTCAAACAATGACAATGAGGGAAAGGGTGTAGTGTATACGTATCTGTCTGAAATCTGGAATCTGCATGAAGAGTATAACACAGCTAATTGCATAGATATAGCTTAACTACATGCGCATACCACCATTTAGTAACATATACGTCCCCATCCGTACACCAAAAATATCATTACAATCACAACTCCCAGCGCCTTTTCCTTCGTGTTTATAGCCAATCTAGCTGCAATATCAGACGGAGGCCCTTTAGCACCTGCAGCGTCGATATCAGCAACTTCCTCCTTGGTCAAATCAGCTGCCTTGGGATTAGAAGAGGGATTCGACGAATGGAATTCAATATATAAACTAACGCAAATCCGACACAGCAAGGTATTCTTCCATATGTGCTTTGGTGGTAGAGGTTCTGAAGTTGAGAACGAACGAGAATACGAGAATTTAGCAAATACGTGGAACCAGTATTTGAGAGACGTACGTGACGATAACCGCACCCTTCGCTTTGACCCACAAAAATACCACCTGAGTCGGTGTGGCACCAATTCTTTGAGCGGCAGCTTTGAGAGGCACGTCAACGGGCCCGCCAGGGTATGTAGTTATCGGTCTGCAATAAGCAACAACAATGAAGATAGAGGAAAGACAGTGGAGAATGGTGGAAGAAAACGTACGAGAGACTACTGTAAGCTTCCACTACAATTTTATGTTTTGCACATACGTCCATGATTGGTTTCATTTTGTAGTAATTATATGGATGTAACTCGATCTAGAAAGTGTCATATGAATCAGCTGTTAGAGAGTAACTTGATCTACCTGATTCACTGCAGGCTTCACTTCGGAGTGTTTGATAAGGTGCTCGAGTTGCTGCACATCGACAACATTGCTGATGCCAATGCTCCTACAGCAACGAGCCAACAAGATAATCAGAATAATTATCATGCATGATAACAAAATCATCACCGTACTTGGCCAGCCCGTCTTGCTGTACTTTCTCAAAATCTTTCCATGTTTTGACAATATCGGGTATGAATAGAGGTTGGTGAATGAGATATAGGTCCAAATATTGAAGTCCGAGCTAATGAGTTTGAGGTTCGAGGAGGGCGAGAAGAATACGTCAGTTATATATACAACGTATTAGCAAACTCACATTCGCCAAACTCTCTTTGACACTCTTCTGAATAGGCACATCTCGGGGATACTTGGTCGTGATGAACAGCTCTGAACGCGCCAGCCCACTTTCTTTTATAGCTTTCCCAACATATTTCTCGGTTTGATAAACTGAGCATGCAGCAAAGCAATGAGCAATCCAATCTTGGACGAGAGAATATTGAAGGTGGTTAGGACGAGAAGAGATACGCACATGCAGCGGTATCAATATGCGAGAACCCCACTTCGATAGCCTGCTCGATATACTGTGTAATATCGTGGTACTTCATCTTGGAGCCTGTGCCATACGCAATGGCTGGGATCTATAACAGCCTCTCTTAAATGGCTATAGCCTTGGGCTACAACTCCAGGATCCTTACCTTGTTTCCATCGTTCAACAAGATAGGTTCAAGAGGCATTTCTCCAGAATATTGAGAGACGGAGAGATACAGAGACGTAGAGAGCGAGGTGCAAGTCTCGCGCCTTACATTGGGTCAATGTTGCCATAAGAATCGGTATCTAAACATGGAAAGGAGAGAAGCTCAGTCGGGCCGAAAGATACCCTCAATCTAATCTCAACGTCGGGGCAAGACCGACAGGCGGTGGGACAAACTTCAGGCATACGAGGGAGGAAATCGTTTGAGAACAACCGGCGGGATCACTCAAAATCCAAGCTCTTCGCCGAAACTGACTGGCTACAGATCACCGGAATGGCGTCGTCGATCAAGGAGTAGTAATAGGACAAAATTTCGACGTAAATTGATGTAGCTTACAGCCAAAAGCTGAGAATGGCTGTATGCATCGAGAATGAGGCTCAGGTTCTTGAATTACGGATTTCGTCAAAGATTTCTCTGATACCGATACCCTCGCATTCTGATGCTTCTCTTTGTGAACCTCGAACATCCCTCTTCCTGATCATGCCAAATACCCCTTCATCTATATCCTATAATAGCGATAAATTGATCAGTACATTTATTTACACAGATAAATTATGCATACACAGTTATTCTGAGAACGGAAGGCTCTCTGATCACAGATTGTCATGTTTTTGCAGTTATCGGTATCGTCACAGGGAACGACGTCTCCGCCTCGACTGAGGAAGGTGTTGAACATCTGAAATGCCGTATCGTTGGCGGTGAACACCTCAGTGAGGTTATGCCAGAATGCTGGTGTGAGTTCAGAGGTGGCAGGGAGCCCGACAAGAGGGCCGTAAGTCTCTCGTACATCGTAGTAGAGTGTCCAA